GAACTGCCTGGAGCCCTGGCTGCCACCTAAGCCCCAGTAGGGTCCTTGAACTAGGTGTTCCGCTGCCAGTCTCTCCTGCAGGGCCTGGTCTGGTACACATGCTCTGAGCACACCTAACCTGCACAAAAGACAGCCAGAGGTGACCAGATCAGGAATTTTTCAAGGCAAGGATGTGCCCTAGAAGTTGAACAGCAGAGCCTGGTGGTTAGGGCAGGCCCTTGGGATGTAGGAGACCCCTTTCAAGCCCCTGCTCCAGTATTACATTTTTCATACAAAGGGGAACAGCTTCAGCAGGAGAGCTGGTGAGCACATCACTCCGGAACAGCCGCTGGCCTGGGGGCTCAGGCATTCAGCTGAGAGATCCAAGTCCCTGCTCCAAAGGAGGCAGAGCAGGAATTTGAACACAGCTTTCCCACAACCCAGCAGAGTGCCCGAACCACTGGGCTGCCAGCTACAGCGGGGGATGTCCTTGCCCATACACTGGCCTAAGCACCCAGCTCCAGCCAAAGGTCCGTGGCTGTGAATCCTGAGCAAAGCTAGGCACTAAACCCCTTTGATGGGTGGGGGACCTCTCTCCTTAGGCCTTATCCCCCACAGCGTGCTGGCTTCTGTGAAGCCCTTTCTTAGGTGCCTACAAACCCCGCTGCGGCGAGTCTCAGAGCCCAGGCCCACTGACTCAGGCTCATGCTATGGGCCTAGGAACAGCCATGCAGCCTGCAGGGCCCAGGCTCGGCAACCCGCCGAAGGGGTAGGTCTCAGACCACGGGCTCCAGCCCAAGTGGGAACATTGACCCTGCTATTTGTAGCCCCATAGCACAGGACTGAGTCAGCTGACCCGAGTTCTGAGCCTCTCTGCCAAAGCGGTGGCGGTTGTGCACTGTGGACATCCCTAACTGTCTGTGTATGGTACGGGGGGGCCTTACTCGGTTTCATGGTACAGGGGAGTCAGGAGGCCTCACTCGGGTGCATAGTACAGGGAGGCCGGCAGGGCCTCACTGGGGCTCAGGATTCCACTAGGCAGCAGAGCACCAGACGTAGGTGCTGCAACATCTCAGTCCCTTTGTGGGACTAGCCCCTAGTGCCTGGGCTCAGAGAGGACCAGCTCAGCTAGGAGACATGACTGTCAGCGCAAGGGGGGCAGAGTCCTCTAGTAGGGTTACCATACATCCGTTTTTTCCAGATATGTCCAGCTTTTCGGCAATCAAACCCCCGTCCAGGGGGAATTGCCAAAAAGCCGAACATGTCCAGGAAAAATACCGTCCGGGCACTTCCCCTCCCGCAGCTGCTCTGCGAGTCCTCCCCTCTCAAACTTCGACTCTGTTTAAGAGCCAAGCTGCCCGAGCCAGCTCTCCCGGCTTCGGGCAGCTTGGCTCTTAAACAGAGCTGAAGTCTGAGAGGGGAGGAACAGAGGCAGCTGGAGCCGGGGAGGAGAAATGCCCGGCCGGCAGCACAGGGTCCGGAGGCACGGGGGCTGCCCGAAGCCGGTAGCGCTCGGGCAGCTCCGCTCTTAAACAGAGCTGAAGAGTCAGGGGAAGAGCAGAGCCGCCGGCCGCGGCGGCTCTGCTCCTCCCCTGACTCTTCGGCTCTGTTTAAGAGCCAAGCGCTACGGGCTTAGGGCAGCCCCCATGCCTCCGGACCCTGCGCCGCTGGAGCCCGGGAGGGGAAGTGCATGGGGGCTGCTTGAAGCCCGAGGGCTGCCAGCTTCACGGTTTGCTGGGCAGCCTCCAGACACTGCACCCCCGGCTGGGCGCTTCCCCTCCTGGGCTCCAGCTGCGCTGGGGAAGTGCCGGCCAGGGGCGCAGGGTCTGGGGGCTGCCCGGCAAACCGTGAAGCCAGTAGCGCTCGGGCAGCCCTTTCCACGTGGCTGGGAGTGGGAGGGACGGAGTTAGGGCGGGGTTGGGGCGGGGAATGGGCGGAGTTGGGGCGGGGCTGGGGTGGGAAATGGGCGGGGCTAGGGCCCTGTGGAGGGTCCTCTTTTTTTATTTGTTACATATGGTAACCTTACCTCTAGGTCTGGCCCTATGGGGTCCCTGTGTGAGCAATAGTGGCTACAGCTCACTGGTTTGATTACAGAGAAGCCTGTGCATTGCAAAACAAAAGGTAACCTTGACAAAGAGCTGATTCTGGAATCCCACTGCCTTGTCGATATCACCCTGCTGGCCCATCAATAGCTTCCAGCGCTGCGTAATTGGAATGGATTTTATGATAGAAGAGGCTCTGTACAGAGCCACCTTGGAACAAGGGACACTGCACTGTTGCTTTCCCTGTGCGAGCGTAGAGGATGGGGGGCAGGAAGGGAGGCTCAAGCTTGCTGTGACAGACCTTTCTCCTCCGTTGACACAACTATTGTTTTGCTCCAGTGGAGACTGAACTGGGCTGCCTCGTCCTGCCCTATGGCAGTAATACACCATGAACAAGGAAATCCCGGATGGAGGGGGCAAGACATGGAGCCACCTCCTCTGTGAAGCAGAGAGGCGAGTCTAGGAATGGCTGGAAGTAACAAAAGGGAATGAAAGATTATCCTCCTCCCTTCCCCCCCGCCAGGAGCATCACTTTCAAATGCAACCAGTTCTGGACTCAGGGCAAAAGGGGTCACTGAGTGAGTGCCATGGCCAATGGGATGCAGGAGGGGCCACTGGGTGGGTGCCGTGGCCCGTGGGACTCAGGAGGGGCCGCTGGGTGGGTGCCATGGCCCGTGGGACGCAGGAGGGGTCACCAACCCAAGTGCAATCCCACTTGGGACTCAGGGCTAGTTCAAGAGTGGGCGAGCTGGGCATTTGCTCTGGGCGCAAGCTTCCAGAGGGCAGGGCCGGCTCTAGGCACCAGCAAAACAAGCTGGTGCTTGGGGCGGCACATTTTTTAGGGGCGGCATGGCCGGCGCCAGAATGCCGCCCCTAAAAATGTGCCCCAGCCACCCTAGCTCACCTCCGCTGCTGCTGCCACAGCTGTTTCGCGCGCCACAGCAGCTCGGGGTCTCCCCCCTCCCTCCCAGGCTCTCAAACCTGGGAGGAAGGGGGAGATCCCAAGCGGCCGCGGCGCGCGAAACGGCTATTTCGCGCGCCGCTGCTCCCCCTTCCTCCCAGACTGGAGAGCCTGGGAGGGAGGGGGGAGACCCCGAGCTGCTGTGGCGCGCGAAACAGCTGTGGCAGCAGCAGCGGAGGTGAGCTAGGGGTGGCTGGGGCACATTTTTAGGGGCGGCAT